CTGGATGTCGCCTCATCCAGCCCCCTCACTTTGCAGAGGAGAAAGCTGAGGCCATCTGTGACTTTAGGGTCTTCATCAGATACCAAACCATCCAGGACTGTCTCCTCCCTCCCCATTGCCAGCCCAAGCTCTAAGGTGGGAGATTCTGAGATGGGGGTTGGTCTTTTGCTGTGATTGGGGATTAAGGGGGGTGAGTTAGGCATGTATTTAAAAACACAAACTGAGGAGGGTGCCAGCTCTGGGATGTCCAAGAAACAGCTCACATTCTGCATCACCTTCTCATACATTTGAAATCAGGATTTTGGTTATTAAATGCTCCAGAGGAGTGGAAGCAAGCACCAGGAGACTAGCCATGAGAAAAGGAAGAGAGTAGTCATGGAAAAACGGGGTTGGATAGATGTCAAAGCTAGATATCAATCCTGTTTCTTTTCTCCCCTTTTTTTCTTCTTCAATACGTTTTGTTGATGCCCTTTGTATCTTATATCACAGCTCTTCCTCATAATGTCTCCTCCACACCCTAGATTGAATCCTTCCTTACGGCAAAGGGACATAACTAAACCTAAGCACCTACTCCAGTGGAAAAGCATGTACCATTCTGTAGGGATATCCCTTCCATAAAAGTCACATTCAGTCAAAGGGAAACCTTTTAGGGTGCTTACAGAAATGATGGTTAAGATTACACCCAAGGGACCCTAGATTTAAATCTGAAAGATCCCCACAAGGCCATAGAGTCCAGTCTCCTTTTTTTTAATGGATGAGGAAACTAGGGCACAAATAGAAGTGACCAGTATAAGGTCACACAGGTATCAGAGTCAGAGTAGGGATTTGAGCCCAGATTCTTTGATGTCAGACCCAATGGTTTTTCTGTTACATCTCGGGATAGGTTCATCGCTCACAGATTTAAGGTTGGGAGGGACATCAGAGGTTTCTCAATCCAGTTCCTTCATTTTTCAGATCAGGAAACTGAGGCACAAAAGGTAAGTGCCTATCCCAAGGTTTGTACAGGTATTTAGTGGCAGGGTTAGGGTTTGAACCCAAGTCCTCTGAGCCCATATCCTCCTGCTCCACATAGGAATTATAGGATTATAGATTTTGATCTGGATGGGGCCATCTAGTTCAACCTTGTCTCTTGGAAAATATTCCCTCAAGAGAGGAAGTAATTTGCCCAATAGGTAGGTAGTAAGTGGAAGAACTGGAATTTGAACCCAGGACTTCTGACTGAATCCAGTTTGCAACTTGTACCACAGAATGTCCAAAGGTTGGAACTCTCCTTTACACACCTATTGAAAAGTGGAGAGAGAGTAGAATAGTAATCTGTGAACTGGGGAAACATAGCCCTCCTTCCAATCTGCATAATTTAGGCTCCACAAAGAATTATGGAGCATGTATTGAATCAGGCAGCCCTGAAAGAGGCCACAGTCTGAGGCACACACAGATGGCAAAAGAAATGATGGAGGAGCAGCTTTTCTGGAACACTCCCATCACCCTTACGGTTCTGCAGAGGGGAGGGTGGACAAGTGGGAGGAATGGAAGGCCCTCGTTACCTCCTGAGCCTGAATTCATGGACTTGAAGCATTTGTAGTGCCTTCTCCATTTGGACTTGTAATTTTTTAAAATTCCCTAACACAGGAGCCTGACCACCTGACAAGCCATAGAATCATTTTGTCCATCCTCCCAGAGGACCTCTACTCAGCAACCAATCAGTCAATGCCATAAACTGTAGGGGAGAAGAGAGGAGGAATTTCCTGTCACATTTTCCTAAGCACCAGTCCCAGGGGCTTGGTAGGAAACCAGGGCCATGGATGACAAAATATACTATAGCAGTTTCTCTCAGAGTTTCTAGGGATGACAGGGCTGGTAGAAGAAGTTTGGAGCTGGAAGATACTTGACTAGATAGATACATATAGATAGATATGTCTATATCTATGTATCTATAGGTATCTCTCTCTCTATATATATACATATATACATGTATATCTGCTTCTGTCTCTATCACCTATGTCTATCTTATCTATGTACCTACCTATCTATCTATCTACCTACCAACCTACCTACCTACCTATCTATCCAGCTATCTATCCATCTATCTGACTCTGTCTCTATCATCTTTTCTATCCATGCATCCATCCATCCACCCATCCATCCATCTATCCACCTACCTATCCATGTTCTGCTCAAGGGGAGGGGAGGGACAGAGATGGTCACAGAATCCAGAGTTTTGGAGCTGAAAGGGTCCTCAGAGACCATCTAGGCTCATCCCAACCTAAACAAATGACCCCCTTATGACATCCCCAACAAGTGGTCATCCAGCCTTTGCTGGAGGATCCCCAGTCATGGGGATCTCACTACCTCCTAAGAGCCTGTTATACTTTTAAATAGCTCTAAATGTTAGGAAGGCTTTTCTTATGTCAGACTTTATTTCTTTCCAACATCCCTTTTATTGTTACTAGTTTTGCCCTTTGGGGCCAAGAAGAACAACTTTTCAATGAGAGAGCCCTTCAAATACTGATTCCTTCCCCCTCTCCCCCACCAAACCTTGCATGAGTATTCCCATTTATATTGGTTAAATACCCTCAGTTTCCTCAGGTATGAACTTGAGGCCCTTTACCACCCTAGTTGCTTTCCTCTGGATGCCCTCTAGCTCATCAAAATCCTGTCTAAAATATGGCATCAAGAACTGAATGCAGTATTGCAGGTCAGCATACAGCAAGATTGTCACCTCTCTACTCCTGGATGCTTTGAGATTTTCTTAATATAGTCAAATATTGTATTAGATTTCTTGGAGGCTCTAATCACGCCATTGCTCCATGTTGAGTTTGTGGCTCACTATTACCCCCAGATCTTTTTCAGATAGACTACTATCAATCCCCACCTCCTCCATATTCTATTTAGAGGCTGATTTTTTTGAACCCAACTATAGAGCTTTCCATTTATCCCTAAAGAGTGTTACTTTACCAGATCTATCCCTTCACAGTGGCCTGCTAAGTTTTTTTTGAATTTTGACTCTATCATCTAATGTGTTAGCCATCCCCATTTGTCTCCTGTAGACACTGTTTACATGTGCAAAACTAGGCCATTGGGTCATGACAAAAGAAATCAAGTTCACTTGAGTGACTTGAATTTTCTGCCTGCTACCAAATCAAAATATGGGAAGGATAGAGTTCCTCTTCTCTATCAGGAAGATTTAGACCGAGAGGCTCTCTCTCTCTGCCTGTAGTCAGAGTCCTCTATCAAAACTGGAAGAGACTATGGAAATAATCTACTCCATACTGCATTTTTTTTTTTAAAGATAAAGCTTTCAAAGAAGAGTGAACTGACCAAGGTCACACAATAGCCAAGGCAAGATTAGAACTTGAGTCTCATGAGTGCCTTGAAGTATTTAGTCCTTTTTGTCTTTATTATCTCCAGTATCTAGAACACTAGCTGGTACTTAATAAACATTTGTTGAATTAAACCAAATTGAACCAGTCAACACTCATTGAGAATACATTAAGCTCTTTCTATGGGGTAGACAGTGTGCCTGGCAGTAGAGATACAAAGTCAAAGAACAGATGATGAATTGGAATTTAATTGAATCTTTTAGCAAGGCACTGATAGAGAGCCATGTTGATGTTTATACATAATTGGGGTCACTTGTCCAGCTGGTCGGTGAAGTGGCAAATCCTGCCTCCTAATGACCGTGTTGACATATGATGATGATCTTAACCCTTCTTTGCCAATGGAGTAAGCTTTCCCAGATTGCCTTGATGTCTACAGGGTTATCACCAGAAGCCCTCCTCAACGAATATTCCACCATAACATCTTCCCCACCTCTAGCCTCCGTTGCATCTGTTTCTTGCCTTCTGCAATGTATTTTCTAAGAATGAAGGTTGGGAAGGATCTCTCCCTGATCGTATGGATCCAGGGGTTTCTTCTTCCACGCTTCACGGTGAATCACAGACATATGGGGCAGATATGAACCTAGAGGGTTGGGATGCTGATAAGTCAGGGATTCTTTGCCTTTTTTAATGTGTTTCAGACCCTTTTGACAACTCTGCAAAGCCTGCAGAATCCTTTTTAGAATGTCTTTAAATTTATAAAACAAAATATAAAGGATCACAAAGGAAACCAATCATATTGAAGTACTTGTCAATTAAAAGAAGTCATATACTCCAGGTTAAGAATCCCTGCCTCAAAGAAAAAAAAAAGGTATAGAAAGGATTCCAGTTAAAGTGGATTCGGGTTTTCCATTCCTGCTGTGACCACTGGACTGGAAAGATGGCAAAACCAGATCCTAGTCGGGGTTCAGCCATTGTTTTGTCTAACAGTTAGGAGCAAGCCATCTAACCCACCCTGCAGGCTGTGGTTCCCTCTTCTGTGCAATGGGGCTGTTTGAAGCAGCTCTCTCCAGTCTTCAGCCAGACATGGGGAAGTTGAGCAAGTAAGTCAAGTAAATGCTAAGGGAACTCCTGGGAAGGAAAGACTCCTAGGGAGTCCAGACTTGTGTTTCTCATTTGGAATTGAAGTCTGGATGCCAACCGATGTCACCGACCAACCGTGACCTAGTTAGGAAACATTGGCAGGGTCTTTTACGCGCTTGATTCCCTCTGACACCGGAAGACTGGTGGGTGGTTTGCTCTGTTCCAACTAGGACAAAGAACTCTCTTTTCCCCCTGCCCTCCCTTGAATAGACTTTGAACTATAGTAGCTCATAAAGGCATCACCACAGAAAGCTTCTGCTAGGGGGTAACTATTTTATTAACTATTCCTGTATAAAAGTGCCTATAATTTAGTTTCCTCTCACCTAATTCCCAGTGACCAAGTGTTACGGGAGAGAATGATTCAGGACACAGTAGGGTCTTTCTTGAATAATGGGGGTTTTACAATAACTTGAGCTCATGTCTCTGTAATGGAGTTAATATCTCATACCTCGCTCAGCTTCGGTGTCTCCCTCCACCCCCAACCCCAACCCTGAGTGGCGTGGGCCAGCACAAAGAGAGAAGGCAGCGGAGGTTACTTACGACTTCATTGGCCGAGAGGATGCTGTAGACCTGGAGGGACTGGCTGGGGGCGTGGCCAGACCGGGTCTCACCACGGCTCGCAGTTCCCTTTTGGACAGCCTTAGAGCAGGGCCGTGGGCGCCTCCGCTTGGATTTAGGCCCTTCTTCGGGGGACTTGGCCCTGTGCCTGCCAGGGGTAGAAAGAGAACAGGGAATGGCCTGATTTGGGGGTCTAGGTGACCAGATAGAGAGCAGAGGGCAGGCTTGGGGCCTCAGTTTTCCAAGGTGAGAGGAACGCCATCTGTCATGATGATTGACACCAACAGAATGCTGAGAAGACAACTGATGATGATGATGATGATGATGATACATAGCTAATATTTATATAGCACCAACCATGTGCCAGGCACTGTGCTAAGTGCTTTATAATTATTATCACATTTTGATCCTCCCAACAACCCTGGGAGATAGGTGTTATTTTTTCCCCTCCATTTTACAGATGAAGAAACTGAGGCAAATAGAGGTTAAGTGACTTGCCCAGGGACAAGCTAGTGACAGCTAGTTAATGTTTGAGGCTGGATTTGTACTCAGGTCTTCCTGTCTCCAAGCCTAGTGCTCTATCCACTGTACCACCTAGCTACCCCAAAGACCAAAGCAGGGCTTTAGCCTTTCAGTGCCTTTAAATAAAATGCCCAATATAAAGATGGTGGCAGCATTTTCTGTAAACATTCCAAAGGGTCATAGGACTCAGAGATGTTAGGGGCCTTAGAAAGAGAATGTGATGGTTGGGAGAGGTCTTAGAAGAGGGAATGTCACAGATGGGAGAAGCCTTAGAACAGGGAGTGTCCTGGCTTGGAGTGTGGACGTCTTAGAACAGGGAATGTCTGAGCTGGGAGGGCCCTTAGAACAGGTTAATGTCAGAGGTGGAAGGGCCCTTAAAGATCAAACTAGTATAATCCCCTCATTATCTAGAGGAGGAATCTGGGGCCTAGAAAAGGTTAGGGACTTGCCCAAAGTCTCACAGCTAGTGAAGGGTGGTAGGGCAAAAGTAGGGAATTGCTCCTGTATTTTGTGACCTCAAGTGGGGCTTTAACCTTCCAGGGCTTCAAACAGTCCTTGAAGAAAAAGAAGAAGCAAATGTCCTTCCTCCTCCCTCCTCCTCCTTCCTCACTTTGTAAAGAATCCGGGCAAGTCAATGAAATGATACACATGAGTTACTCCCCAGCAGGAAGAGGCTGGGCTGACAAGGGATTGTGGCATCCACAGTGGGAGACTAAGCTGAAGATGACTCCGTGGGTCTCGCTCAGGGCAGCTGTAAGTGCAGCAGTGCTGGGGAAACCAGGGGCTTACCTGCTCTCGCAGCTGGAGGAGCGTGACTCAGAGCTGGGTGACCGAGAGTGACAGCGGCGGTGACGATGGCGGTGAGATTTTCGAGGCCGACTTCGAGATCTTTGGGAAATTGATCAAAAAGAGGGCAGCAGAGATGAATTTGTATCTACCTTTCCAGACATCTTAGCCCTTCATGCACTCTTGGATCTTGTATTTCCTCTAACATGATGCTCCATCTCCCATCACTCTCCCCCATTTCTGGAATACTCTCCTTCCTTCTCACCTCCATCTTTGAGTTTCTTGGCTTCCTTCAAGACTCACCTCGAATCTTACTTTTGGCAGGTCTTTCTAGTTTCTAATGCTTCCCCATCTCAGATTACCTTCACCTACTCTGTATGGATCTTGTAGGAACCTAATTATTTACACATTGTCTTACTCATTAGAATGCTTGCTTCCTGAGGGCAAGGACTGTGTTTTTGTCTTTCTTTGTATCTCCAGTGTTTCCCACTACCACCTTGGGAAAAAAGTTGCTCTCCCATCCAAAGAAAAGGGCCTCATGTGATAGATAACTTTTCCTTCACTGCATTGTCCCAGGACCAGTATCTGCCTGTCTTTTCAGGACATTTCAGTCTCAAGGCCAATTGGTTTAGTTAAACTGCCAGCCCAGGTAACCCTCTAACTCCCTAACCTTCTTGTTTCCAAAAACTGTAAGGTTAGAGGACAGGGCAGAGTGTAGATAATTGAAGTGACTCTACATCTCTCACCTTTGCCCTTTTTTCTCTACCTCATGTCTGGCACAAAGTAAGATTTAATAAGTATTCAAGTCTATCTATCATTCATTCATTCATCTGTCATTTATCTATCTACCCATTAATCCATCTTAATCCATTCAAACCTCTATCCTCCATTTAATTATCTACCATTTATCTACTCATCCCTCTTTATCTCTATCCATCCTCTTCTCTATCATCTAATTATCTATCCATCCATTCATGCTTCCTTTTCTCTATCTATCCATCCATTCTTCTATCTATCCATCTATTTATCTATCCATTCATCCCTCCTAATCTCTATGCATCCTTTTATCTATCACCTAATGCTCTTTTTTTTTTTGGTGAAGGCAATTGATGAAGTGACTTGCCCAGAGTCACACAGCTAGTGAGTATTATGTGTCTAAGGCCGGATTCGAACTCAGGTCCTCCTGACTCCAGGGCCGGTGCTCTATCCACTGCACCACCTAGCTGCCCCTGTCTAATGCTCTTTCTGTCTATTCATCCATCCTTATCTCCATCCATTCCTCTATCTACCCATCTATCATCCAGTTATCTATCATCTATCTACTCATCCCCCCTTATCTCTCTGTTATCTATTTATTTGTCATATCTATCTATCCATTTATCTATTCCTTAACTCTATCATCTGTCTCTTAATTCTTTCTATCTATCTATCTATCTATCTATCTATCTATCTATCTATCTATCCATCTATCATCTATTCACCCAGCTGCCACTGTAGTTTAGATTCTCATCACCTCTCTTCTGGGCTAGTTCAATGATCTGTTTGTGCTTCCTGTCTCCATTCTGTCCCCATTTGAATCCAGCCTCCAAGGAGCTGTCAAAATTATTTTTCCTAATGTGCATATTTGACCATGTCAGTCCTCTAATCAAGAAGCTCCACTAATAAGGGGTAGCTAGGTGGTGCTGTGGATAGAGCTCCAGCCTCCGAGTCATGAGGACCTGAGTTCAAATCCGGCCTCAGACACTTGACACTTACTAGCTGTGTGACCCTGGGCAAGTCACTTAACACAGATTGCCTCACCAAAAAGCAAAAAAAAAAAAAAAAGAAAAGAAAGAAAGTCAAATTCGGCCTCAGACATTAGCTGTGTGACCCTGGGCAAGTCACTGAACCCCATTGCCTAGCCAAAAACAACAACAACAGCAAAGAAACTCTACTAGCTCCCTACTTCCTCTAGGATTACAGACAAAATCCTGTGACCTAGCTTTAGGCTACCTCTCCAGGTTTCACAGTAGCTAGCATTTTTATACTGCTTTCAGGTTTGCAAAAAACTTATATATGTTAACTCATATCATCCTCACAACAATCCTTTGAGGTGGGTATGAGTTTACTAAACGTCATGCGTCTTTGTGTACCTGCGTGGTTTCACCCAACAGGCCTTCTTGCTGTCCCTCATGCCCCACATCCCGTCTCCCATGTCTCTGACTTTGTACAGACTGTTTTATGCTTGGAAGACACTCCCTTCTCACTTCCCCTCTTAGAATATCTACTCTATTTCAAGACTCAGCTAAACTGCGACATCCTCCATGGGCCGATCCCCCTCAGATGCTAGTATCGCACCTCTAAAATTTCCTTGGATTTGCTTTGAACTTATTGAGCACATTCTTGCATATGCGTGTGCTGTTTCCTCAGATGGAAGAAAATTTCCTTGAAGTCAGAAGTTTAATTTTTGTCTTTGCATTCCTAGAGCCTAACACAGTGTTTGGCACACAGTAGGCATTTGATAAAGCTTGTTGGTTGATTGAACATTTGATCTCCATTTCTGGCATCCCCAGAGTCCCACATTGTGAATCAGAAGCTGTGTCTCTTCTGATCTAAAGGAGTCCAGTAAACTCCTCATCATCACAGTTTGACCTTTATTTTAAGCTTTTCAAAGAGCCTTGCAGTTGATGGAAAGACGACAGACTTGGGATCAGGGCAACCTGAGCTTGAATCTGGTCTCAGACACCTACTAGCTGTGTGACCCTGGACAAGTCACTCAACCTGAATTTGCCTCACTCTTCTCCTTTGTCAAATGGGGAGAATAATATCAACTGCTTCCAGGGTTGCTATGAGGATCAAACAAGATGATGATTGGGGATGATAATAATAGTAATGAACATTTATGTAGTACTTTGAGATTTAGAAAGGGATTTAAATCACTGTTTCATTTAAGCCTCACTATGAGGTAAGTGTTCTTACTATTCCCATTTTACATATGAGGAAGTTGAGGCTCAGAGAGGTCATAGGGTAATCGACTGAATGCTAAAGCGAATTTCAGAAGTCATTTGACTCCTTCATTTTACACAAATGAAGCCCAGAGGAGTGAAATTACTTGCTCAAGGTCACACAGCCAGTAGAGAGTCCAGTCCTCTATATAATATACCACAATAGCTCAGAGGGTTAGTATCACATAGGTTTAGCTCCACACTTGAGTTTACTCTACTCCTGGGCTACCCAGAAAGCACTCCTAATCACAGCTAACCCTCTTGTGAATTTGTGCTGTGGGTCCTAATGGGGAGTGGGAGACAGTCTGTGATGTTTCTCACAAATCTGTTCCTTACCTGGGGAACACAAGGTCACTGTACCAGCCCTCAGAGAAGTGTAAGTGAGGGGCAGTGAGACTCCCTTCCCCCAAATATTTCCCTACCCCTTGTCACTGTACCTAAAATTCTGCCATTGGATACTCATCCATCCTGAAGGGCCTGAATCCTTTTCCATCTGCAAGAATCTTCTTCTTTTTTTTTTTTTTTAGGCAATTGGGGTTAAGTGACTTGCCCAGGGTCACACAGCTAGTAAGTGTCAAGTGTTTTGTCTGAGGCTGGATTTGAACTCAGGTCCTCCTGACTTCAGGGCTGGTGCTCTATCCACTGTGCCATCTAGCTGCCCCTGAGAATCTCCTAATAAAATATGTCTGGAAGAGATTAATATTTTGAACCCAGTTATTGGCTCAGTATTAAAGATAAGCGGGGATTATTATTATCATTATTATTATTAATTTGTTTATTTGCTTATCAGTCTACCTATTTGTTTTTCTATTTATTCATTTACTTATTTTTTATTCATCTATCCATTCATTCATCTATTCCTCCCTCCCTCATCTTTATTCCTTCCTCCATTTCTTTCTTTCTTTCTTTCTTTCTTTCTTTCTTTCTTTCTTTCTTTCTTTCTTTCTTTCTTTCTTTCTTTCTTTCTTTCTTTCTTTCTTTCTTTCTTTCTTTCTTTCTTTCTGTCTTTCCAGACCTTTGATTTCATTAGTGTACAGAAGAAATTCTCTAGTGGTGGCCATCTCTAGGGTAGGATGGGGAGGAAGGAGAAAAATATAAAAAGGGCACAGCAGATAATAAAAGAAAATTTAGAAGGAAGTATAGAAAGCAAAGTAGCTTTGAAAACGATGAATAATACTTATATAGTTTTTCAAAAAAACATAAAAGTATGAAATGAAAAATCATGATTTTATAGTGAATCCTCCTTTTATGTTGTGCTGTGTACATGGAAATGTTCTTTTTTTCTTTATATATTTAAATTCAAAATGAATAAGTAAATAAATAAGAAACTCTCTGTATCAATGCCCATCTGCAGATCTCGCAAAACTTCAAAGGACCGTAAGAAAGTTCATAATTTTGGAGGCTATCAAATTGCATTGCCTAATTTTACAAATGAGGAAACTGAGGCCTAGAGAAGCTAAATGTCTTGCCCAGAGTCACACAACTAGGCAGTATTTGAACTCAGGTCTCCTTGACTCCAAGTCTGGTGCTCTACCTGGTGGGCCAAGAGGTTAAGTGACCTGCCCAGGGTCACACTGCCTTATTTGTATTCAAGGCAGAACTTTGAGTCAGGTCTTTTTGACTCCAAAGCTCACACTCTATCTACTGCCCTGTAATGGCTTAGGAATATAGTAACAATAATAGCCGTTTCTATAGCACTTAAAAATGATAAAGTGTTTTCTTCCCAACAGCCCCAGAAGAAAAGCCACAAGATCATAGATTTAGAACTGGAAGGGCCTTTGAGGTTGCAGAGTACAGCCCACCATTTTACTGATGAGGATACTGAAGCCCAGAGAGGTTGTGACCTGGTCAAGGTCACACAGCTAGTGCTGTGGCTTCATAACTAACACTCCTCACATTACATTGCATCATATTTGATTATGTCCATTTTATGTGTTAGTAAACTAAGGCCCAGTTAAATGCCTTGACCAGGGCCATGCTTAGCAAAGGGGAGAGCTGGGAATCTAATTTGGGACTGGCTAGTATACTCTTTATTGCATCATGCTGCCTTTTCTGTGGCAAGAGGCCGAATAGGATATAGAGGAAAGGGTCCTAGGAGACCTGAGATCTTAAAGGAAAAGAAAGCAAGGCATTAGGATTTCCCTCTGAGAGGCTCCCTTGGTCAGGGATGACAGACACTTGGTTGGGTGTCAAGTTTTTGAAAGATCCTTTGGATATCATCATGAACTGAGTTTCAGAGACTCTGGCTGAGTTGCCATGTCCCTTGGGGAACATGGTGTTACCTTGAGAACCCAACATTTTTATGTGGAACAATTCCAATGGACTGTGTGACCTTGAGCAAGTCTCTTAATCTCTTCCTCCATTTTCTCATGTGTAAAATGAAAAAGTTGAACCAGAGGATCTCCAAGATTCCCCTTTGGTCTACACATCCCTGGGTCACCCTGGGTTCATATCCCACCTTTGGTGTTTACTGCCTATGTGACCTTGAGCAAGTCTGGGCCTCAGAGTTTCCTCATCTGTATAGTAAATGGAGTTGGATTTGATGGCCTCAGAAACTCCTTCTAACTCAAGATCTTTGATTATATAAGTCATTTGACCCAGCCAGGCCTCAGGTTCTCATCTATAAAATGAGAGGGTTAACTAATGGGTTAAAACATGTCAAGTGCTTTCCAAAGAGGAACTGATCTGAAAAATGGGTACCTTCCTCACCTACCACCATCATTCTCCTTCCTTCCTTACTCCAGGCATGGGAGCTTGGAATACTATTGTACCAGTATAGGCCAAGCCCATCTGGATGAATTCACTGGGTACTTGACCTGCGGTATGGTATCTTAGAGGTCTTTGTGTCCAATCCCCTCATTTTACAATTGAGGGAACTAAGGCCCAGAGAGATGACATGACTTATCCAAAGTTATAATCGAAGGCCCAGGATTTGAACCCTGTTCTTTGGCTCCAAATGTAGCCATCTTTCCATAGCACCAAGTAGCCCAGAGCTTCCACAGAAAGCTTTAGGGAATAAAGCCTTTGTGACGCCCTTCAGAAGCAGGCCTCTAACTTGTATGGCGCTTTCTTGAAAGTGATTCTGACTGTGACTTGTGGGCAAGCTCTCGTTCAGGCTTTCAATTCACTTTCTGGATGGGCTCTAAGGGCTGTAAAGCTGTCATCATTAGTAAGGGTGAATGATGCCCATGGAACACCACTGTATGGAGCCAGTCTAGACAGCCAAGGGCTATTTGAATTTGTGAAAGAGGCCTCCGAGGCCCTAGCAGCAAAAATAAATCCAGAGTTTGGTTTAAAAAGCCAAATGAAACAAAACTTTCCAAGTGAATTTAATAAACATCGATGTAGCCTCTACCTGAAGGCAGCAACACTTGCTTGGGAGAGACCACCCAATGTCCTTTTCTTCTTCTTCCTACATCCTTTGTCTTAGGTGATTGCAGACTCCTTTGTTTTTTCTTGTCTCCATTGGGAATCTTCAGCACTCATCAAATTTCTGATGCCTGAAGCATTCTTTTCTTTTTTGGTGTACTCTGGGAAAGGGCTGCCTTTTTCAGTGATGTCTGGTTCCCCCTCCTTGCCTCGCTAACACACAATCTGCTAGTGCTGTTCCTTCTATGACTGTGACTCTCCATTTACTATGCCTGTATCTTGTATGGATCTATTTCTATACAAAGGAACTTAGACTTAGAGTTGGAAGGACCCATAGAGGAATTGAATCCAATCCCCTGGTTTCTTTTTTAATGAATGAGAGACAGAAGCTCAGAGAAATTACATCACTTGCCCAGGGTCACGTAGCTCGAAAGTGTCTAAGATGAATTTGAACTTGGATTTTCTTGACCCCAAAGACCAGTGGTCTGTCCCCTATACCACCTATATATACGTCATTTCCTCCCTCCCCCACCTTGAGGGCAAGGCTTCCCTTTCCTTTTCCTCCATTTCCCCAATATCCAGCTCAGTGCCCAATACGTAGGCATTCAATAAATGTTTGTTGGGTGACTAATTGATTCTGGAGCCCTCGGAATCTTGGCGGGGCTGGTTTGTCCCTGAGATCTCTTGGCAGGAGTATAACAGAAGCAGGCTGGACAAATGAATGGTATCCTCCCAATTTTAGAGACCTCCAGGACACCGGATGCCATACCTCCTTGCTGTAGCCTGTCCCAGGGACCAATAGCCCTGATGGTTAGGAATCTTCCTCTGGGCAAAACCAAAGCTCCCCTAGCCTGAGTAAGAGAATAGCTGTTGGCCATGACTGAGCTCAGGCAGCCAGGGCCCTAAAACCTTACTCTTGATCCCTGTCTTATCTGTCTTTCCCTCCCCACTTGTGCATTGACCCCCCCCCAAAAAGTCTTCCAACTGCCATCCCCATTGCCTTTGATCCACACATTAAAAACTTCCTGGTGGGAGATAAGATATTTTGTTGACTGGAAAACATATGCACTGACATTTGCAGGGCATAAAATAGGTGGGTTGTAACCAAATTTACTTTTAATTTGGCTGGGAACTGAACTCTGCAGGCAGCGTTCTCTGATTTGAATTTCTACTACCAGCTATTTAAAAAAAATAAACAGGAGCAGTTAGACTCTGCAGGGCCAGCTCTCTAGGACTTCAACGATTGCACTGACTTCAGTCAAAATGCAACATAGGGATGCTGGTAGACCCATCCACCCTGCCCCCCACTCTCACATAATAGCTGACATTTATATGCTACTCAAAGGTTGGCAAAGTACTTGACTTAGAAAATCTCATTTGATCCTTAACAATAATCTAAGAAGAGAAGTGTTCTGATGACTATTATCCCTATTTTACAGGTGAGGAAATTGAGGCTGAGAACAGTTAAAAGGCTACATCCAGAGTTACACTGCTAATAAGTGTCTGAGGCAGGATTTAGCCCAGGTATTCTGAATTTCTCTCTCTCTCTCTCTCTCTCTCTCTCTCTCTCTCTCTCTCTCTCTCTCTCTCTCCTTTATCCCCTCTTTCTCTCTTCCTTCTCCTCTTCTCCTTATTTCTTCTCTCTTCTCTCCCTTTTCAGCCTCCTCTTCTTCCCTCTCCCTTTCATATATTCATATGCACAAATCATGCACACAGACACAGACACACATTTATCTAAATGGCAACTAAAAGGACCTCATCTCCATAAAAGCTCTACCCACCATCACAACCTGATTTCATTCAGTTTTACTTACTGTTTCTGGTGTTTTCTTTCTTTCTTTCTTTTGCTTTTGGGGCTTGAGGAACTAAATAAGAAATAGCTAATTAATGGGAAGATGTTGCATGCTTATAAAACAATAAAATCTCAAAACATCAAAAAGCTTAAGGATATCTGGGTGGATGGGCCCATGGTCTCTGATATGTTACCCAACACTGGTAACTTTGTTACTGTATTGGGCCTTATATATATATATATAATATATATAAATATATAAAAATATATATAAATATATATATATTTAATATAGGTTTCTTGAGCAGAATTAAAAACCAGTCACGGCCTAAGACCAAGAAGGGACAGTAGAAGGGATTCCTGTTCAGGCATGGGTTGGATCCCATAACCTCTATCATCTCTTCCAATTCAGAGATTCTGTGATTCCAATTTTGTCAGAAGTCGGCTATTCCACTCCTCAGGTCTGCCAGAGTGTTCAGCCTGAGACGGCAACCCAAGGGCAGTGGCTGGAGATGGAAGCTCAGGATCTTAGAGATTACTGAGCCCAGCTTCCTCACCTTACAGATAGTAAACAAGAGGAGGAAAGGGTTTTGTTCAAGATCACATAGCTAGTAAGTGGCGAAGCCAGAATTTATGTCCAAGTCGTCTGATCCAAATCCTTTATACGCTACCTGGTTTGAGGAGATCCCAAAGGCCTTCCACTAGAAAGGTTTTCTATCTGAACGGCTTGTCTAACTTATAAATATAGGCAACCCTCCAGTGCCCCAGTTTATACAGTCCTCAGAACTTTGATTTGAAAGGGACCTCAGGTACCATCTAGTTCAACTCATAGATTAATGAAAATCTCTAAAACCTTCCTGATAAGTGGCAATCCAGTCTCCAGTGAGGGGGAACAACTGGAAATATTGAAATATAGAATCTTCAAGTTAAAAGAGACCTTAGAATCTACTGAGTCTAATGATGAATTCAACCACAATACCTGCTATAGTATCTTTTGACAAGTCTTTGACTGGCTTTTTCCTTAAGATCTAGAATGTGGAAGAAGCCCTTATCTCTGGAAGGAGCCCACTCCATTTTTCAATAAATTGCTTTAGCTATTCCTTGGCACACAGACAAATTTGCCTAGTCCCAACTGCCCTCCATTACTTACGGTTCTGGCCCTTGGGGCCAAGCAGATCAAGCAGAACATGCCCTATTCCACACTGCACTTGCTCAGTGACAATTATTTGGCCTCCGCTAAGATTTCTCTTCTCCAGGTTAAACACCTCCATTTCTTTCCTAGGGCAGGAACTTGGAGAACTCCTCCACCTCAGTCAGCCTCCTCTGCACATTCTTCAACTTGTCAGTATCCTTCCCCAAACGTGACAAGTTCCTAGAACTAAATGTAGTACCCCAGGTGGGATCTGACTATGGCAGGGTACAGAGAGGTTGTCACCCCCTCTAGTCCTGGACACTGGCTCTCAACGAAGATTAGACTCATTTACTTTCTAGGCTGACATTTTACACTGCTGATTCATAATGATTCTGCAAAACCACTAACCCTTCTTTTCCCAGCTCTTTGAGACAAACAAACATAAAAAACAACAACTATTTCCTAGGAATGCCTCCTTCCGTCTTGCCCTTTTGATGCTAACTTTTTAAAACTTAACTAGGAGAATTTATATTCCTGTCCATTCAATTTTCATTTTATTAGATTTCAGAAAACATTCTAGCCTGTCAAGATCTTTCTGAACCCTGGTCCTATCATCCATTGTGTTAGCCATTCCACCCAGCTGTTTGTCATCTGCAAAAGTGACAAGGATACCAATATATCCTTTTCTGAGTAATTGATTAAAAGAA